AAGACTATGGTATCGGGCTCGTATTTTGGTTCCGACGCCCGGTACAAGTCTTATATGTGATGTAAGAGCTTTCTGTAAAGTTTGGTTGGAAACGGACGTCATTTGACGTGTTTCGGACTTAAAAATGGAAAATTTGTGTTTTATGAAAAGTTGGAAGAAATCATGTGATTTGAGGCTTGATTCTATGTATATGATGTTATTTTGGCGATTTGATCGCACGAGTAAGTCCGTAGGATATTTTTGAGGTTGTGTGCATATTTGGTTTGGAGCCCCGAGGGCTCGGGTGAGTTTTGGATGGGTGTCGAGTTGCATTTTGAGCCTTTGAAAAATCTGGTATCCTTCAGTTCTGCAGGCTTCGCAATTGCGAAGCCAGCTTTCGCAAAAGCGAACTCGCAATTGCGAGCTTCCCATCGCAAATGCGATCCTTCACCTGGGCAGCAATCTTCGCAAATGCGAAGTAATTCATCGCAAATGCGATGCCTGCCCATGAGCCCAGCCTTCGCAAATGCGAAGAGTTCTATCGCAAATGCGAACCTTCCACTCTTCTTCAAGTTCGCAAATGCGAACTAAAATCTCGCAATTCCCAGACCTGCTGGGTTCGCAATTGCGAACCCAGGTTCGCATTTCCCATATCTGAGGCCTGCAATTTTTCATACTTAGACGAATTTTTAACCCCTTTTCTTCATTCTTTCAAAACACAAACTCCTTAGGCGATTTTCCAAGACATCTATCTTCTCCAAATCATTTGTAAGTCAACTTTTACTTAATTTCTTCAATCTTTAACATCATTAAACATGTTTTCATCTTAAAATCAAAGATTTCCATGGGTGAAAATGGGAATTTTGGGTAGAACCTAGGTTTTCTTCAAATTGGGGAGTTGGACCTCAATTTGAGGTCCGATTTCAAAACTAATCATAGATATGAACTCGTGGGGGAATGGGTAACCGGGTTTTGGTTCGAACCTCGGGTTTTGACCACGTGGGCCCGGGGGCGTTTTGGAAAATTTTGGGTAAAACTTTGGGAAATTCATTTTCATGCATCCAAATTGATTCAATTAGCATTTGTTGATACATTCAAGTAATTTGTGACTAGATTCGAGCGGTTTGGTGGTGAATTCGAGGGGTAAAGCTATACTAGAGGCTTGAGTCGAGTTTGGAGCATTTGAGGTAAGTGTTTGGTCTAACTTTGGCTTGAGGGAATATGAGTAGAGTCTTATTTGCTAATTGCTACTTGTCGAGTACGGTGTATATGCATGGTGACGAGTATCTATACACTGGTGTCGAGCATGACCGTAAGTCCTAAATTGCTAAATTATCGAATTCTTAATTGTTGTTTATGAGGACTTGGTTAAAAATCTTTAACACTGAGCCAGTAACTGTTGAGACTGAGTATTGATTTAATTGTGTTAAGTAGAAATTGAATAAGTTTGGTTATAGCTGGATCTCCCTTGCCGGGATAGTTTATTATATTATCTTGTTCCCTTGTCGGGATAGTTTATTATAATATCTTTCTCCCTTGCCGGGATTATATTGTGTGTTTTGTTGAAAGAAATGGGATCGAGTGGTACGCCTACCACGTGATATTATGAAATGGGATCGAGTGGCACGCCTACCACGTGATATTATGAAATGGGATCGAGTGGTACGCCTACCACGTGATATTATGAAATGGGATCGAGTGGTACGCCTACCACGTGATATTATGAAATGGGATCGAGTGGTACGCCTACCACGTGATGTGAGGAAATGGGATCGTGTTGCACGCCTGCAACTAGAGAAAATTGAAACAAGTGAAAGTGGTTTGTTTTCCCTTATTCTGTGTTAGAAGAAATCGGATGTAGTTTCTTTTGTTATTCCTGATATTCTGATTTATCTACTACCCCATAAGCATGTTTCCCCCTCCCAGCTTTAATTGCTTACTTTCCGCTATTATTTTGTTGTACTTGTATATATATAACTGCACATGTTTATCTGGTAGTCTGGTCTAGCCTCGTCACTACTTCGCCGGGGTTAGGCTAGGCACTTACCAGCACATGGGGTCGGTTGTGCTGATGCTACACTCTGTGCATCTTTTTGCACAGATCACAGTACCGGAGCAGCAGCTTTTGGACAGCAGTAGGAGCATTTGGGAGCTGACTTCAGTCCAGAGATCCCGAGGTAGCCTTGCTGACGTCCGCATGGCCCGGAGTCTCTTCTATCCTTATTTCGTTTGTTGTGCTTGTACTGGAACAAACAGTATCGTATTTTATTCAGACTCTGTTTTTAGTATTCTAGAGACGTTCGTGAGTTAGTGACTCTAGCCTTGGGTAGAGGTTGTAATTGAAATTCTGCACTTGTTTTCAGTTCATTTATATTTAAAACTTCCGCTTTTATATTAAATGTCTCATTGCCTTAGTATTGTCGATGTTGCCAAGAAGGTTAATAATTAATTGGCTTGCCTAGCTCCTAATAGTAGGCGCCATCACGACTCCCAACGGTGGAAAATTTGGGTCGTGACAAGTTGGTATCAGAGCACTAGGTTACATAGGTCTCACAACTCACGGACAAACTCGGTAGAGTCTGAGGGATCGGTACGGAGACGTCTGTATTTATCCCCCAGAGGCTGCAGAGTTAGGAAAACTTCACTCTTGTTCTTTCTTGTCGTGCGATTCTGTTTCCCAAATAGTGATTGTCTTTCTACTCTGTTCTTTCGCAGATGGCGAGAACATGTGCTTCCTCTTCTACCGCGAAGCAGACCGAGCCCCCAGCAGCAGCTCCTACGAGGGGCAGAGGGCGAGGCCGAGGCCGTGCCAGAGGCCGAGGTCGGGGCTGAGCTCTGCCCCGAGCAGCAGTTCCAGAGGTGGAGCCTCATGTTGACTACAATGAGGAGGTTCCAACCCTAGCAGCTCCGGTGGGCCCAGCTCAGGTCCCAGAGGGGTTTATAGCCACCCCAGTTCTTCAGTACGCTTTGGTCAGATTGGTAGGCTTTGTGGAGAGCGTCACTAGAGCGGGTTTGCTTCCAGTAGCACCAGCCACTTCTCAGACTGGAGGAGGAGTTCAGACTCTTGCTACACGTACTCCGGAGCAGGTAGCTCCCCAGGCTCAAGTTCCAGTGGTTCAGCCAGCTGTGGCAGTTCAGCCGGGTATTGTGACTCAGACCGGCGATGGAGCGGCTATGTCAGCAGATGCTTTGTGGAGACTGGATAGGTTCACCAAGCTCTTCACCACCACATTCAGCGGTGCTTCTTTAGAGGACCCCCAGGATTTCTTATATAGCTGCCATGAGGTTCTTCGGACTATGGGTATTGTGGAGACCAATGGGGTCGACTTCGCCACCTTTCGTCTATCTGGATCCGCCAAGACTTGGTGGAGGGACTATTGTTTAGCCAGACCAGCAGGGTCATCATCTCTGACTTGGGACCAGTTTGCAGAGTTGTTCTTGGAGAAGTTTCTACCCGTTACTCAGCGAGAGGCTCTTCGCAGGCAGTTCGAGCGCCTCCAGCAGGGCTCTATGACAGTCACTCAGTATGAGACCCGGTTCATTGATCTAGCACGCCATGCTATTGTTATACTCCCCACCGAAAGAGAGAGAGGGTGCGGAGGTTTATTGATGGTTTGATTCAGCCAATCCGTCTCCAGATGGCTATCGGAGCCGGGAGTGAGATTTCTTTTCAGGAGGCGGCCAATGCGCCCCGTAGAGTTGAGATGGCTCTTGCACGGGGAGGTGGTCATGGGTCTGATAAGAGGCCCCGTCATGTAGGTAGATTCAGTGGTACCTTGTCTGGAGGTAGGTATCCTTATGGTAGAGGCCATCCTCCGAGGCCCTTTCAGTCAGCCCTACAGGTCTCACATGGTACTTCAGAGGGTCGTGGTTCTCAGCCGCATTATTCTGACCAGCAGCTTCACAGTTCCACATCAGCACCTATCAGCGCACCACGACTCCGTTATTCTCAGCAGCCGAGGGCTTGTTTCACGTGTGGTGACATGAGGCACATTGCCAGGTATTGCCCTCGAGCTTCTGACAGCTCTCAGCAGTAGGGTCCTCGTCCTATGATACAGGCATCAGGTGATCCACAGCCTGCCCAGCCAGCTAGAGGCGGGGGTAGAGGCCATAGAGGTGGAGGTAGAGATCATAGAGGTGGAGCTCGGACCGCTAGAGGTAGAGGTCAGCCAGCAGCCGATCGTCCCAGAGATATGATTCAGGGAGGTGGGGCCCAGCCCCGGTGTTATGCGCTTCCATCCAGGCCAGAGGCTGAGTCTTCAGATGCAGTCATTACAGGTACTATTCTGGTCTGTGATAGGGGTGCTTCAGTGCTATTTGACCCTGGGTCTACGTATTCGTATGTGTCGTCCTATTTTGCACCCTACCTGGTTATGCCTAGTGATGCTTTGGGTATTCCTGTTTATGTATCTACACCGGTGGATGATTCTATAGTGGTCGACCGAGTTCATCGTTCCTATGTGGTAGTGTTTGAGGGTCTTGAGACCCGTGTCGATTTATTGCTCTTAGACATGGTGGATTTTGACGTTATATTAGGGATGGATTGGTTGTCCCCATATCATGCTATCTTAGATTGTCACGCCAAGACCGTGACCTTGGCTTTGCCAGATTTGCCCCGTTTGGAGTGGAGAGGGACCCCAGGGCATACCACCCGCAGAGTTATTTCATATGTGAAGGCTCGACGCATTGTTGAGAAGGGGTGTTTAGCTTATCTGGCGTATGTTCGCGATTCCAGCGCAGAGGTCCCTTCTATTGATTCTGTTCCTATTGTTCAGGAGTTCCCCGAGGTTTTCCCTTCAGACCTGCCGGGTATGCCGCCCGACAGGGATATTGATTTTTGTATTGATCTGGCTCCGTGCACTCAGCCCATTTCTATCCTGCCATATCGCATGGTCCCGCCAGAGTTGAAGGAGTTAAAGGACCAGTTGCAGGATTTGCTAGAGAAGGGTTTTATCAGACCCAGTGTTTCTCCTTGGGGTGCGCCGATGTTATTTGTGAAGAAAAAGGATGGTTCGATGAGAATGTGCATTGATTACCGGCAACTGAACAAAGTGACGATAAAGAACAAGTATCCACTGCCGAGGATTGACGATTTGTTCGACCAGCTTCAGGGTGCGAAGGTGTTTTCAAAGATAGACTTGAGATCTGGCTACCACCAGTTGAGGATTAGGGCGTCTGATGTCCCTAAGACAGCATTCCGCACTCGGTATGGGCATTATGAGTTTTTGGTCATGTCATTTGGGTTGACCAATGCCCCAGCGGCATTTATGGAGTTGATGAACCGAGTGTTCAGTCCTTATTTGGACTTGTTCGTGATAGTCTTTATTGATGATATTCTGGTATACTCCCGCAGCCAGGAGGAGCACGAGCAGCACCTCAGAGTGGTTCTTCAAACTCTGAAGGATAGTCAGTTATATGCCAAGTTCTCGAAGTGCGAGTTCTGGTTGAGTTCGGTTGCATTTCTGGGTCACGTCATATCAGCAGAGGGTATTCAGGTGGACCCGAAGAAGATTGAGGCATTATCTTTATGGTGTGACATGTGAGGTGTACACTGATCACAAGATTCTTTAGTACTTGTTCAAGTAGAAGGAGTTGAACTTGAGGCAGAGGAGGTGGTTGGAGTTATTGAAATATTATGATGTTACTATTTTGTATCACCCGGGGAGAGCCAATGTGGTGGCCGATGCATTGAGTAGGAAGTCCGCCAGCATGGGTAGCCTAGCTTATATTCCGGTCAGCCAGAGACCGCTTGCTTTGGATATTCAGGCTTTGGCCAATCGGTTTGTGAGATTGGATATTTCTGAGCCTAGCAGAGTGTTAGCTTGCACGGTCGCTCGTTCCTCATTATTGGAGCGTATCCGTGATCGGCAGTTTGATGATCCCTATTTGTGTGTCCTGAGAGACACGGTGCAGCATGGAGGTGCCACGAAGGTGACCTTAGATAGCAATGGTGTTTTGAGATTGCAGGGGCGAGTTTGTGTGCCCAATGTCGATGGGATTCGAGAGTTGATCTTAGCGGAGGCCCATAGTTCTCGGTATTCTATTCACCCGGGCGCCGCGAAGATGTATCAGGACTTGCGGCAGCATTATTGGTGGCGCAGGATGAAGAAAGATATTGTTGCATATGTGGCTCGATGTTTGAACTGTCAGCAGGTTAAGTATGAGCATCAGAAGCCTGGTGGTTTGTTTCAGAGGATTGAGCTTCCCGAGTGGAAGTGGGAGAGGATTACCATGGATTTCGTTACCGGACTTCCGTTGACTCGGAAGAAGTTCGATGCGATATGGGTTATTGTTGATAGGCTGACCAAGTCAGCACATTTCATTCCTATGGCAGTCTCCTATTCATCCGAGAGGTTAGCTGAGATTTATATCCGGGAGATTGTTCGCCTTAATGGTGTGCCGGTATCTATCATTTCGGACCGGGGTACGCAGTTTACCTAGCGTTTCTGGGGTGCAGTTCAGCGAGAGTTGGGCACACTGGTTGAGTTGAGCACAGTGTTCCATCCTCAGACGGACGGTCAGTCCGAGCGGACTATTCAGATTTTGGAGGATACTCCGGGCTTGTGTTATCGACTTTGGAGGTTCGTGGGATCAGTTTTTGCCTTTAGCAGAGTTTGCCTACAACAACAGCTACCAGTCCAGCATTCAGATGGCTCCATATGAGGCGTTGTATGGTAGGCGACGTCGGTCTCCAGTGGGATGGTTTGAGCCGGGAGAGGCTCGGTTATTGGGTACAGATTTAGTTCAGGAGGCCTTAGATAAGGTCAAGATCATTCAGGACAGGCTTCGTTCGGCTCAGTCGCGGCAAAGGAGTTATGCAGATCGTAAGGTCCGGGATGTAACTTTCATGGTTGGTGAGCGGGTCTTGCTCCGAGTGTCGCCTATGAAGGGCGTGATGAGATTTGGGAAGAAGGGAAAGCTTAGCCCTAGGTTCATTGGCCCATTTGAGATCCTTGATCGAGTGGGAGAGGTGGCTTATAGACTTGCCTTGCCGCCTAGCTTGTCAGCCGTGCATCCAGTGTTTCATGTGTCCATGCTTCGGAGGTATCACGATGATCCAGCTCACGTGTTAGATTTCAGCACTGTCCAGTTGGACAAGGATCTGTCTTATGAGGAGGAGCCGGTAGCTATTCTAGACCGGCAGATTCGACAGTTGAGGTCGAAGAGTTTTCCTTCAGTGCGAGTTCAGTGGAGAGGTCAGCCTCCTGAGGCATCGACCTGGGAGTCCGAGTCTGATATGCGGAGCCGTTATCCCCATCTATTTCCCGACTCAGGTACTTCTTTCTTTTGTCCGTTCGAGGACGAACGGTTGTTTTAGAGGTGGAGAATGTGACGACCCAAAGGGTCATCACCTGTTTTCTCTTTCATTTCGTGCTTCCGAGGCCTTGAAAACCTCGCTTTTAGTTGCCTCGATTTGCGTGCGCAGTCCGGGCGCGTAACCGGGAAGCTTAAATATGAATTCTGTGTAAAAATTGATGAATTTTGATATTAATATGGTTAAAGTTGACTTTGGTCAATATTTTGGGTAAACGGACCCGGACCCGTGATTTGACGGTCCTGGAGGGTCCGTAGAAAAATATGGGACTTGGGCCTATGCCAGGAATCGAATTCCGAGATCCCAAGCCCGAGAAATGAATTTTTGTGTGAAATTGTTTTCTGAAATTAATTAAGGAAAATGAAAAGGAAATTTGATCAGAAGACTATGGTATCGGGCTCGTATTTTGGTTCTGACGCCCGGTACAAGTCTTATATGTGATGTAAGAGCTTTCTGTAAAGTTTGGTTGGAAACGGACGTCATTTGACGTGTTTCGGACTTAAAAATGGAAAATTTGTGTTTTATGAAAAGTTGGAAGAAATCATGTGATTTGAGGCTTGATTCTATGTATATGATGTTATTTTGGCGATTTGATCGCACGAGTAAGTCCGTAGGATGTTTTTGAGGTTGTGTGCATATTTGGTTTGGAGCCCCGAGGGCTCGGCTGAGTTTTGGATAGGTGTCGAGTTGTATTTTGAGCCTTTGAAAAATCTGGTATCCTTCAGTTCTGCAGGCTTCGCAATTGCGAAGCCAGCTTTCGCAAAAGCGCACTCGCAATTGCGAGCTTCCCATCGCAAATGCGATCCTTCACCTGGGCAGCAATCTTCGCAAATTCGAAGTAATTCATCGCAAATGCGATGCCTGCCCATGAGCCCAGCCTTCGCAAATGCGAAGAGTTCTATCGCAAATGCGAACCTTCCACTCTTCTTCAAGTTCGCGAATGCGAACTAAAATCTCGCAATTCCCAGACCTGCTGGGTTCGCAATTGCCAACCCAGGTTCGCATTTTCCATATCTGTGGCCTGCAATTTTTCATACTTAGACGAATTTTTAACCCCTTTTCTTCATTCTTTCAAAACACAAACTCCATAGACAATTTTCCAAGAAATCTATCTTCTCCAAATCATTTGTAAGTCAACTTTTACTTAATTTCTTCAATCTTTAACATCATTAAACATGTTTTCATCTTAAAATCAAGGATTTCCATGGGTGAAAATGAGGATTTTGGGTAGAACCTAGGTTTTCTTCAAATTGGGGAGTTGGTCCTCAATTTGAGGTCCGATTTCAAAACTAATCATAGATATGAACTCGTGGGGGAATGGGTAACCGGGTTTTGGTTCGAACCTCGGGTTTTGACCACGTGGGCCCGGGGGCATTTTGAGAATTTTGAGTAAAACTTTGGGAAATTCATTTTCATGCATTCAAATCGATTCTATTAGCATTTATTGATACATTCAAGTAATTTGTGACTAGATTCGAGCGGTTTGGGGGTGAATTCGAAGTGTAAAGCTATACTAGAGGCTTGAGTTGAGTTTGGAGCATTTGAGGTAAGTGTTTGGTCTAACTTTGGCTTGAGGGAATAGGAGTAGAGTCTTAGTTGATAATTGCTATTTGTCGGGTACGGTGTATAGGCATGGTGACGAGTATCTATACACTGGTGTCGAGCATGACCTTGAGTCCTAAATTGCTAAATTATCGAATTCTTAATTGTTGTCTATGAGGACTTGGTTGGAAATCTTTAACACTGAGCCAGTAATTGTTGAGACTGAGTATTTATTTAAATGTGTTAAGTGGAAATTGAATAAGTTTGGTTATAGCTGGATCTCCCTTGCCGGGATAGTTTATTATATTATCTTGTTCCCTTGCCGGGATAGTTATTATATTATCTTGTTCCTTTGCCGGGATTATTTTGTATATTGTGTTGAAAGAAATTGGATCGAGTGGTACGCCTACCACGTGATGTTTTGAAATGTGATCGAGTGGTACGCCTACCACATGATATTATGAAATGGGATCGAGTGGTACGCCTACCACGTGATATTATGAAATGGGATCTAGTGGTACGCCTACCACGTGATATTATAAAATGGGATCGAGTGGTACGCCTACCATGTGATACTATGAAATGGGATCGAGTGATACGCCTACCACGTGATATTATGAAATGGGATCGAGTGGTACGCCTACCACGTGATATGAGGAAATGGGATCGTGTTACACGCCTGCAACGAGAGGAAATTGAAACAAGTGAAAGTGGTTTGTTTTCCCTTATACCGTGTTTGAAGAAATCGGATGTAGTTTCTTTTGTTATTCCTGATATTCTGATTTATCTACTACCCCATAAGCATGTTTCCCCCTCCCAGCTTTAATTGCTTACTTTCCGCTATTATTTTGTTGTACTTGTATATATATAACTGCACAGGTTTATCTGGTAGTCTGGTCCAGCCTCGTCACTACTTCGCCGGGGTTAGGCTAGGCACTTACCAGCACATGGGGTCGGTTGTGCTGATGCTATACTCTGTCCATCTTTTTGCACAGATCACAGTACCGGAGCAGCAACTTTTGGACAGTAGTAGGAGCATTTGGGAGCTGACTTCAGTCCAGAGATCCCGAGGTAGCCTTGCTGACGTCCGCATGGCCCGGAGTCTCTTCTATCCTTATTTCGTTTGTTGTCGTTGTACCGGAACAAACAGTATCATATTTTATTCAGACTCTGTTTTTAGTATTCCATAGACGTTCGTGAGTTAGTGACTCCAGTCTTGGGTAGAGGTTGTAATTGAAATTCCGCACTTGTTTTCAGTTCATTTATATTTAAAACTTCCGCTTTTATATTAAATGTCTCATTGCCTTAGTATTGTCGATGTTGCCAAGAAGGTTAATAATTAATTGGCTTGCCTAGCTCCTAATAGTAGGCGCCATCATGACTCCCGACGGTGGAAAATCCGGGTCTTGACATTGATATTTGTGGATCTCGGTAGAAATAGATGCATCTATGGTTCGCGCCATTCGACCCTCTGGCAGTGCACAGTTTATTTTCTATTGGATCGGGCCGTCGACCTCGGCATAATGTGCGCATGATATCTATGTGAAACCTTATCCATGACCTGTCCTGCTAAATACTTGAAATGTAATTGGTTGACTGCAAAATTGTTCAGAACATGACTTATTATCTCTTGCTACAAACTGTTGACTATCTGTGACTCCCATGCTTAGCATAACACCGTATTATATTATTTGACCCTAGTAAGTATCAAGTCGACCTCTCGTCTCTACTTCTTCGAGATTAGACGGGATACTTACTGGGTACATATTGTTTATGTACTCATACTACACTTCTGTACTTAATTGTACAGGATCTGAGGCAGGTACATCTGGCTATCAGTCTGGTGCGCGCCCCTGATTCATAGTTCGAGACTTCAATGGTGAGCCGCTCCCGTCCTGTGCCGTTCAACAACTTGATGGAGTCTTTCTTTACTTTTGCTGTCTATTCTATCTCGGACAGTAGGATAGTTTTAATCTTTTGTACATTCTACTAGTTGCCCATTACTTGTGACACCAGGTCTTGGCACACACGTTAGTAGACTATTATTTTGGGATTGTATAACTATTTTGACACATTACTGTTCATTCCTGGTTTGACTTTAACTTAATGAATTGCTGCACTTATTTTTGGTAAAAGTAAAAATGAGTACTTAATTATATTTCCGCGTTGGCTTGCCTGACAATGATGTTGGGCGCCATCACGATCTATTTAGGAAATGGGTCGTGACATCTACTGCTCAAATTAATACTTAAATTTATCAATAATATTTTTGGGTATCATTTATTTATTATTTTCATTTTATATTTTAGCTGAATGAAGTACTACATACTCGTAGTATATATTGATAATACCTCTATTTTTATCTTTATAATGAGTTAAGATAGGGGTGTTGTTTTTATCTTTTAGTTCAATTTTTTTTATTTGTGGTCAAAATCTTATTAATTAATAAGACTATATTTCTTTCTTTCCATTCAGATTCAAAATAATCTTATTTACTATCTTTCTATTTAAATTAAAAAAATTATCTTTTAATTTAAAATTAAATTAAATATTTTTATAAATATTATCCTAAATTATTAAATAACTTTCTAGTAGCGTCCCACTGCCCACTTAGCTTAGCCGCAATGCAAATTATTCCTCTAATATATATATATATATATATATATATATATATATATAAACATAGATATGGATTGATTTGAACATTGAGTTTACTGATTGGTGAAGAAAATGCTCTATCACCTAAGCAAATTTTCCTTTATTAATCACCATACAAGTTGATGCTTCAATTTATATTTTCTCTCTTCTATTATCACTACTAATGTAATATAAATCTTAATTTCATATTTGTTATACTTAAATTTATTGAATTATTGTCTTAGGGAACACGGAGAAGTGAACACTATTGATCACCTAAGGTAGTTACGAAAGTTAAGTTTTGATCCAACAACTCGGTAATTATGATTATGGGTTCGAACCTAGATTTTTTAGTCTTATTTCTAGTTACAAACACGTTTTTGTTTTTTCTGTTGTGAACTCAAATTTCAAAAAAACTCTTTCTCATTATTTAGAACAATTCACCTCACTCGTTGAGCCTCTCGTTTGAGTCGGAATATTTATGTGTTGATTAACTTTCCTAATTAATTAATCAATCAATTCAAATTTAACTTTCTTTTCTTTCAGATTCATAAGAATCTTATTTACTATATTTCTATTTAAATTAAAGAAATATCCTATCTTTTAATTTAAATTAGATACTATAACAAATATTGTCCTAAATTGCCAAGTGGCTTTATATTAGCTTGCCACTTGGCTTAACCACAATGCAAACTTTCTTGCTTTAATATATATATATAGATTATCACATTTTCATATGGCTTTTAATTAACNATAATGTATGCCAATGTCGTCGTCGTCTTCTTCTTCTTCTTCTTCTTCTTCTTCTTCTTCTTCTTCAAGTTTCAATCTGAAATTCAGCCAAAATCAAGTCTAATCTTCACCAAAACATCCTCAAAATTGAGATATAAACTCCAAATAATATTTCCAATTGTTTGCAACAACACCCAATCCATACAAATAATGGTTTTTGAAAACCCAAATTCGAATTCAAAGCTTCAAAGCTTTTTAATGGTTGTCAATGGTGGAATTGCTGCTCTCTTTTCATTTGCTTTACATTACTGGAATTAGGGATTGAAAGGTAGAGAGAGACGTAGAGAGAATTCCCAATTGTTTGCAACAACACCCAATTCAAATAATAATATTTTTTGAAAATCCAAATTCAAATTCAAAGTTTCAAAGCTTTTTAATGGTTGTCAATGGTGAGAATTGTTGCTCTCTTTTCCTTTGCTCTACATTACTGGAATTAGGGATTGAGAGATGGAGAGAGACATATATATATAGAGAGAGAGAGAGAGAGAGAGCGCATGAGAGAGAGAGCATGAGGGAGAGAGAATAATGATGCGAAATAATTGATTCCTAATATAAAGGGATACTCATTTAATTCCTAAAGTGTATATAATTGTTAAATTTGTATATAGGATGTAATTAAATTGAAACTTGAATAGGGAGGGTAATAAAGTTTCCAATAGTGTATGTATGTATATATATATATATATATATATATATATATAATGAAAAGGAGAAATTAAGTTTTGGGTTTGGATTTAAATTTAACTGAATTTCAAAATATGTACCTCTACGATCGAGGATTTAAATTACGTTCTAAATTTTTGTACTCCCTCCATTTTGCTAAAATGGAGGTTTGAGAAGAGATGGAAACCCTAACTAACGAGGGAGAAGAGGAGCGTGAAGATGAATGTAACAGTAGAA